TCAGGAACTGTGACCGGAGGAGGGGCCGTGGCAGCAGGACTGGAAGGGATGGAATCATGCACACGGTCGCTGGCTGTGTCGGTTTGTGCTGGACTGAAGATGATGGTGTCCATGAGGTTCTCGGCATCCTGGATCCTGTAGAGCGTGGATATTCTTCCTTCCAGCTCTGTGATTTTATCAACCAGGCGGGCGCAGCTGACACAGTCAGATGGAGAGGTGAGTGGAGCCATATCAGATCTGGTGGACAATTGGGCTCCAGCCCGTAGTCCATAGCCTTGTCCAGGTATTAGCAAAGGTGGAAGCTGATTCACAGACGGTCCCGTTTTCAGTTTGACGTGTGTAGACACTTTAACATTAGTATCGGTGACATTCGAGTGAGTTGAAACCCAATACTTACATTTAAAAGTGAATCCTGCCACTTCTCCAGCTCCCGCATCAATCGCCGCCATGTTGGTTCAAATAAAATCTTCACCGGCACGCAATGCATCTCGAGATATGCTGGGCCGCGAAGCATTCATGAGATGTGTCCTCCGAATCTGGGGGCTGAAGGCCACATTCGTCGGCTGCATTTGAAGGAGTCTTCAACAAACATACGAAATGGGACAGCCTAGTCGCAGCGCTGTGACGCAACCGGTCTACAAATGCAGCCTTCGAAGGATGCAGCCTCTGAATTGAGAAACCTCATACAACAGTCTGAGTAGTGTGGGGAGCCATATCCTCGATGGCCACCTGGGGGCCCATATGACCTTGTGACAGACCCTTGTGCCCTCTAAGGAGTATAGGTCCACCTGGGTCTGTATTGATCCCAAATCAACTGCACCATCTGGGGGGACAATCTCCATTCCCCAGGCAGTAACCTCCAGCATGAGAGGTAATCTGCTACAGAGTTTGCTCTGGCTGGGAGATGCATGGCCCTCAGGGAGGCCAATTGTGGATGAGTCCATTTCCACAGCCTCAGAGCTTCCCTTGGGGACTTCTGTGACCTTGTCCCTCCTTGATGGTTGATGTTAAACACAGCCGAGGTATTGTCCGTCCGAATGAGCGCATGTTTGTCCTTGAGAAAAGGCAAGAAGTTCTTCAGCGCCAAGTAGACAGTCCAGAGATCACTATTGTGCTTATTGTACTTATAGCGCCTTGACTGACCTCACACCACCCCCTAACCAAGTGAGGCCTTTGTTGTAACCACTTCTCGCCTCACTGGGACTGAGCCAAGAGGAACACCATGCAGTAAGAATGTGCTGTCCCTCCATTGCCGTAGCTGAATGAGACACTTGAGCGTTACACTGACCTTGACCCACCTGTTTAAACAAGGGTCCATGTGGAGGACGTTGCACCACCTCTGCAGGGGCAGGAGATGCAGCAACCCCAGGGGTTTGATTACCGAGGCCGCCGTTAGCATCCCCAGCAGCATGAGCCATGCCTGGACTGTCAAACTCGCCCCATGATTAAAAGACTATATTAGGCACTGAATCCTGTCTACTCGCTCCATAGTCGGACGCACCTACATAGAGACCTAATTCAGAGACAGGCCGATGAAGGTGATATGCTGTGCTCGACAACGCAAGCTCTTTTCTCGTTTAACGAACATGCCCAGTGCCTCGACATGAGCTATGACCTCCATTGTTCTCCGTTCTGCCTCCCAGAAATAGGGGGCGCAAATGAGCCAGTCTTTGAGGTGTCAAAAAAGAGGATTGAGATCCCAGGACAGCTGCCTTAAATGAAGGAATACAGTTCGATATGAAAGTAGGATAAAGGGACACAAAGCATATAATAAGTAATCATTTTAAAGCAAGTTTGTATAACATAATAATAATGAAGTGATTTAACAAATGTATAACTGAGTAAGAAGTGAAGTCTGTGTGTGTGTGGAAAGAGCTGATGTAAGCAGGATGGGGACCTTAAAGGATGAGATCATAACAGATGGTGGGGTGATGTCCGAACATGCCCAGAAAAGAAGGAAGTGAGAGTGTCCACACTGAAAGTTAGGGCGTTGTTCGCAGCACACACACATTTAATCAATGATGTCATGTAAATCACATGCCGAGGGAGGGAGTGTTGGGGAGGAGGGAGGGGAGAGAGCTCCAAGTTATAAAAAGGAAACCTTGCAGATAGCAAGACGGGATTCAACGCGGGAGCCACCCAAGTGCTCCACGGAGAAGACACTGGACCTCGCTCAACAAACCGCATCGGAGGACTTCGTCTCTGTTCACGGAAAGAAGACAGCCGTTCCAGGACAAAGATTGAAAGACGGAGATTTTCCTCTCCCCCCTGTTTGACTTTAACAACTGGACAATAGATGGACGCAGCTGCCCTAAAAGACTTTGTACTGAGTCTGAGAGAGCGCTGAACGGACTTCGTTGGCCTCGCAGGAGGAGCTGAGGGTTCGGACGGACCTCCAGCTCCTGAAAACCCCACAAAGGACTTTTTATTACATCGTGAATCCAGCTCCACCGAGCCGCCTCGGCATCGACAATTAATGAGTATAACCTGAAAAGAAATTGTAACCTGATTGAATTAAGTATCGTATTATATTATGAAGAGCTGTAGCTGTGCCCATGCTAAATATATCCTGCAATAAATATCTAATCTGCATTTAAAGTAAAGTTCTCAAGAGCATTCATTTGCTGAGGTAGTAGAAGTTCCTCATGGCAGTAAAAGGGTAAAGCTATTGTATGTTAACAACAAGAGTTCTTAATGGTTATCCTAGTGACCGGTCCACTTAACAGTCCCTTACGGTTTTAGTTATAATCCTAGCCGTTAAAACCTAACCTGGTAATTTACCAAGAGCCCAGATCCAAAAGAGGAAAGCTGCCATAACTGACGCGACTAGGTAGAAGCGCCCGGCCAGGGTGGCCCCTCGGCCGAGTGCACGTTACCAGTGGAAGCAGGGTAGACGTCAGGAGTAAGTAACGGTAGTTAGCAGAAGCCAGGCAAGTTTCCTCGACAGAACACCAGCTCGACAATCTTTTAATAGAGAGCTGAGTCAGTAGGTAGCCCCATATCGGGCCTGAGAACCCCCCGGATCTAACAGAGGTTACAGAGAATCTTTACTCCCCTCAGAATCAGGCTGCCCTCATGCATCTTGTAAAATTCCGAGGAGCCAGGAACAGGCTGAAGAATAGGACTGCAAACTGATATGCATGACCTAAAAGGCAAAGGGAAGCAACTTTTTGTGTTCTGGGTGAATAGGAATGTGAAAGTAGGTGTCTCTGGGCCTTCACTGGGTCAGCATTTTCTACATAATTCCCCCTCCTGATGCCGAGGTGGGCCAGGGCAGTGTGGATAAGGTGATTTATTGCCTCGTCTGTGGATCTGTTGGAGTGGTATGAGACTGCAACGGTCTGAAAGTCTTTGACAAGTCTCTAAAAGCACTTCATCACTCACTTGAGGTCATAGCCACTGGCAGCGCTACCAGCTGGGGTGAGGTTTCTTCGGGACAGGGACCACTGTTTGACAGTTTGAAGCACGTGGTAATAACAGGCTGGGTGATGGAGCGGTTGAAGATTACTGTGAACACCTGTACCAGCGTGCCGTCCAGTCCTGCTGCCTCCTGGTTTTGACGCTCCAGAAGCCCTTCTCACGTTGTGCTCTGAAGCCTTGTTTATACACGAGACACCTCGGAGACCCGTGAGCTACGCACACACACAAAGGCGTTTCTGAATTCAGAGGAGGAGTAGTAATTAACTATAAACTGATATCTCATATTCTAAATTTATGGACAAACTTAATAACCTTCATACCATAAAGGAAAGAGACAACAATTTGGAACAACAATTGCATTATAATGATAATATAATATCCTGTAAACAATTAGATCCAGCTGGCAAAATATTTACTCAAATAGATTTCTAGTGTTGAAACGGTCGTCTCGCTAAAATCTTGAGACATAATAACAGTAATTAATTATTTAACTTCCTAATTTAAATGAGCTTTTATTAGTATTCGTGGTAGTTATGCCTGAAAAGCCCTTTGCAGCGTCTTGTTACAAAGATTTGGAGGTGCACAAACAAGTGCTGCGACAACTTCACGCAAAATACGTGATGATGTGACACTACGGCTCACATAATCCTACATTGAGACGGCAACTGCATGCTGCTCCTTGGTCGGGGCTCCGATCATTATGCGACAGTTTGTCGGCTGCCTGCCATTGAGCTCTTCGGCCAGAGAAGCGTCTGCCCTGGATGGGATTGTTTTGTACTTGCCACAAGTTCTGGAATCAGTCGGTTGCAATTGTGCAATTTCTTGACGCCGCTTAGCCTCTTTCAGTGCTCGATCTCTGAACTGGAGCTTTCTGTTTCAGCTGTTGTTTGTATTTAGGCAAAAGCAAGATGGTGGCTTGGCCTGATTTGCCAAAAGGAAGGAGAAACGGGGCTTTGTACCCGTCCTTGTACTGTGTGTAGCAGTGGTCCAGAGGAGTTCAACCCTGCTTTAATGATGTTTTTATCCGCCCACATATCAGACCGGCATCGCATCATCACCAAGGCCACACATGCACTCTCTTGGGGGAAAGAAACGCGCTGTCACATATGGAGAGAAACATGAAAAGGCAGAAAAACTGTCGTGTAGCGAATTAAGCTCTACTTTCACACTGGGATTTGATGCACATAAGATACGTGAATATTCAGCTAGTGTGATAAATTGCTAAATAATGCTGTGACAATTAATACTGATGGATGAGTTAGCTTAGCTAGCTTGAATGGGAGGCTTCTGCAGTACAGTCTTACTCTTAGGCTCAAATCAATTAAACACCAATGACAGGAGGTGGGTCTTCATCTGTAGTCTGTGCAGTTTTAATGTGACAAAGCTGTTCCAAAGACGGCCACCGCAAAGGCTCAATCACCACTGTTTGTGTCTAGTTCTGGACATCCAAGAGCATCTAATTGGTCGACCTCAGTTCTCTGACTGGAGTATGGAGATGCAAGAGTTTGGCTAAATAACGTGGCGCCAGCCTTGGCTAAAAGTCTTACCTGGAAAAAGTTAGTTTTGACAGCTGAACCAATCACTCCTAGATTCTTAATAAAAGTTTGATAGAAGCTAAAGGGCCTCTGATAGGTCAGGTCGTCCAAACATAATGATCTGAGTCTTTACATTGAGATTGAAATCCAAGTTTTTTGGTATCATTTGACCACAGACGTCTGAGAGGAAAACAAAAGACACAGACACATTGAGATTAAAAATGGATGATTTCATTACAAAGCCAACACATATAAAACATCAATAACACTGATCCTGGTATAGCGGTAACACGGTCACGTAATGTGGGAGCATCCCTCTGCTACATGAATATTGCAGAGGATTTCTAAAAAAGGTTCCCTGTACAACTCTACAGACCTCTGAGTCTGCATCAACTGAATCTGAGAAAAGCTCATCAATTATCAATTAAAGCTGGAAACACATGATTTTAAGAGATAGATGTGTGTGTCTGTTTTTGAGAGAGAGAGTTTGTAAGCAGAGTTGTTGCTTGTAGTTGTCTTCATTCATGGAATATTGAATATCAAAACAGGGTGAGATACTTTGGGTGTGTAAATGTGTGTCTTCCAGTATTTATGCTTCACAGAAGGATGCTCACTTAAACAACAGTAAGTGTGTTTCAATGTTGCAGGGCAGGGAGAATGGTTCCCATGCAGGGTCCGAAGCCCACTCTGTACCCATCTCCTTGACAGTAACCTAGACAGAAGAAAAGATGGGACATTACTATAAATACAAACATGTGATCATGGACATGATTATCAGTAGGATCATATGATGTAAGGCCATCTGAAAACACATAATTCATGTCTTTTTGCTGTCAAACATTTTGTCAAACTGATTTATTGTTAATATTTGTATAATTGAAAGAAAGGAAAAGAATCCTCTGAGGCCCGTCACAAATGTTTCTTCACTCTCCAGTGTTAATAGATAACTAGACAGGGAGGGGCATGGAGATGCAAACAGCAGCAGTAACTGTAACTTACAAGCAAAGGACACAGATACATTGAATCTGTACCATGAATACTTTCATATCAACATACATATGTGTATATCAACGTACTGTTCTAACCGTTCATGTTTAAAACTGCATTCTCAACAAAACCACTTGGTTAGGTTTAGTAAAAGATCATGTTTGGCTTCAAATAAGTTTGATACTACTGGTTTCACACAGGACACAAAAACGGGTCTCCTGGGTCAGTCCCATGTTCGACCCATCCTTCCACTCCAACCTCCTCCCTACGAGGACTTTTATTAAACACATTTGTGATACATCAAAAACAAATGTAATCAGTTGCATTGTATGAGAAAGAGATTTTTAGGAGACAGGCTCCCACACCACACAGTTGAAGTTTAAACAGTTTAAAAGAAAACCCAAAACATCATGATTTTTTCGTAATATTTTTGGCGAAAACATGTTTTAATTAATGCAAAAAGTTGATTGTGTATTTATATTCCTGTCTTTTATCAGCTGGTTGTCAGTTGGTCTGCTATTTTTCCTGTTTGTATCCCTCGTGTAGTTGTCCTCCTGATCCTGTTTTGTTTGTCATTTTTGCAAGTTTTGTTTTGGACGCTTTCTTTATGAAATCACTGTTAAATATCCTTCTGCTCCCTGTGTTTGTCTGCTGTGGGTCCATCCCCTATTGTCTGTTTGCCATACCGTGACAGCTTGTAACATGCCGTAACTCATGTGCCCCAGTGGCGTAACATTACGCTACAGAATGTTCATTAAGAATCACTCAACTTTTGAGCTCACACAGGACACAAACACTGGTCGGCTGAGTAAAAGTCCTGTGTTTGTTTGACACAACCAACTCACCTCCCCCTTTTATCATAAAATGTTATTCCTATTGTGTAGATTTTACACCAACAATTATGAAAAAAACCTTGTTAGTTGTCGTTTTCCTTATTGATATCGTTTGAAAGACAATTTTAGATAAGAACCACTCTATATGTTTCCAGTGAATGATCCAGTTATCTGGTTCACATGGGAGAAGTTTGCCTAAAGGGCCTTCTGCCAGAAATCTTCGTAGGTTTGACAACAAAGGTACTTGGTTAGGTTTAGGAAAATATGGTTTGGGTAAAAATAAAACCTTTCTGGCAGAAAGCCCTGACTGCATCTTCTTCTCTGTGCTTATTTGGCTGCTATGCTTAGGTTTCAGTCCAACCTGTGATGGTGACTTTGTCTCCATCCCTCAAGAACGTTCTGGTTTCTCCTCCTCCCAGATCGATGCTCTTAGATCCCCTCCATGACAGCTCCAGCATGGATCCAAAACTCTCTGGATCCTGTTGAGATGCAGTCCACACAGAAACATGGTACACTGCAAATGTACTGCATGTAAAACACAATCATAGAGGTAAACAAACATGCTTTCTTTTATAGATATTCCCATGGCAAAAAATGTATCATCAACCAACACAAAAAAGTGATTAAATAGTTTATAGTGTGTCAGATTGAATTGATTACAGCATCTTTTTAATTAGTCAGATATTTGCTTGATGAAAAAGCAATAATATATTTTTTTGTGTCACCAGGTCATATCCATCAATGTAATTCTAGAAATTACAAAGTTATATACACTAGAAAGAAAATGGAGATGAAAATATATAAAAGCAAGGGGATGAAATGTGCAAACCCCTAGAATAAGCATATACATGTTCGGGGTTATGGGTAAAACAGAGATCCCCAAAATCCACAGTTTTAATTTTTTCACATAGGGGTTCTGAAGGTTCAAAATTCAAAATTCAGACAATATCTATGCTTGGGAGATTGCCTCAACATAGCTGTCAACGTGGCTGTCAACATGGCGACAGCTGAGAAAGTGGCTAGCAGCTAACGGTGCTAACAGCACGAACAGTCCAAACAACAGCAACAGAGCTGACAGAGCTAACAGGAACCGGAGACGACGCCGTGGTACCGTAAAAGCACAGTGCAGAGCGGCGGCCGTGAGCTAACCAGAGGGGCACGCTCACATGCACTTACGTGCACTAAAAGGCACAGAGAAGCTTGTGTTAACACAGAGAGGGAGAATGACTTCATTCTCTGCTTAAGTACATTACTTCACTATATCTGTATAGACAATAGATGTTGGATGAATATCTTACAAAGAACATTTTGTGCAATATTTTCAAGATCTGTCTTACAGTTAACAGATTATTCACCACTCACTTCAACAACATAAGCATGAAATGGGACTTACTTTGCGTCAGGGCAGTCCTGTACCGTGTGCGATAGAATATGTATTCACATAAGATACACAGTTCAAATATTATCCATCTTAACTAGTATTTATCGAGTACTGAGTATACTGTACATGCAGACACTCACAGGTCCACTAATGGTACCAGAAGCCAGCAGGTCTCCAGGTCTGACGTTGCAGCCGTTGACTGTGTGATGGGTGAGTTGCTGCTTCATGGTCCAGTACATGTACTAGAGACAGAGATAAGAATGGTAGAATATGAGTGAAGACGTTATCCTGGTTCACCATGTGCATAAAGGAGACTGCTGGTTCCACCTGCCTCTACAGTCTGGTGATGGCTTTGGGCTCTGAGGGAGTCTGCACTACCAACATTTGTGTTAAAAATGGACGGGGTGTGTTTTGATACCGATGGTCACAGTGTTGTAACTTATTAACCAGGAATAATTGTAATAATACAAAATTGACAACATAGGGCATAGCCCTAATTTCTCAGCCTACACAGTCCTGAAAATAGCTCGGGAGTTATAAAATCATCAGGGTGGGAAGGAAAAATCTCATTTTTCTTTGAACTCATATGAGTTGCCAGGATCAAACGGGAGACCAGCATCCAAACTAAAATGCACTGGTCCTCAAGCAGAGTTTAATTCAGACTATAGATGATACAACTGACAGAAAAACGAAGAATAAAATTGAGCAGGTTTAATTAAATAAGCTTAAAACTTCTAAATAAAGTTTATTTACTTGCTCAATATCTATATATGAAACCAAATTCCTGAAGAGGGGCTCGACTTTATCCTTGCTGTTCAGCAGGGGAGGAGAACTGCGGACCCGGACTGGGGATATTGTCGAGCGGTGGAAAGAAAACTTTGAGGAACTCCTGAACCCGACCTACACGTCCTCCATGGAGGTGGCAGAGTTTAAATACTTGGGGGAAGATCCATCCATATGCCTGGAAGAGGTTGTTGAGGTGGTAAAAAAGCTCCTCACCGGAGATGCTGACCTTCAGTGGTTGAGGTAGGGGACAGTGCCTGTGAAGTGTCAGACCAGGTGGGAGTTCCCATTTTTAAAAAGGGACACCGGAGACTGTGCTCCAATTATCGGGATATCACACTGCTCAGCCTCCCCAGGAAAGTTTATTCCAGGGTCCTGGAAAGGAGGCTCCAACCGATTGTCTAACATCAGATTCAGGAGGAGCAATGCGGATTCTGTCCTGGCTGTGGAAAGGGTAAAGACTTGAAGGGGTTATGGGAGTTTGGCCATCCAGTCTACATGTGTTTTGTGGACTTGGAAAAGGACTACGACCATTTCCCTCTGGGAATTCTATGGGTGGTACTGCAGGAATATGGGGTACCTGGGTCGTTGCTACGAACCATACGGTCCTTGTTTGACCAAAGTGAGAGCTGTGTCCAGATACTCGGCACAAAGTCAATCCTCTTTGTGATTTTCATGGACAGGATTTCAAGGTGGTGGTAGACCCAGAGTGATTTCATATCTTGTCTGGCCAGGGAACGTTTTGGAGTTCCCCAGGAAGGGCTGAAAGCATTGCTGGGGAGAGGGGCATCTGGAACACTCCTGCTGCCCCGTGACCTGGCCCCGGATAAGCGGAAGCAAATGGATGGATGGACAAATATGTTTATTTTATAGATTTGTTTTCTAATTGTTAGCCGTTTGCAGTGCCTTACAGTTAATCATAACAATAGATTTAAACATGAAATTCAAGTGTTATCCAGTGCCGACATGAGTTGATTAAACCATTAGTTGACTGACAAAACAAGTAAGAGAATGTAAAGCAATAATGGCCCAAATCAGATTTTTTTTTTTTCATAACAGTGTGAACTGCACAAATCTCATGGAATTTGATGTTTTCCATTCTGTTTCGGGGCACTTTCATATTTGGTCCTACATCATATACAGGTCTCATTTGCAAACAGCCAAACAGACATGAGCAGATGTGGAACCGTGACGATCGTGATTGGAAAACAATGCGCTACCTTAAAGTTTGACTTGCAGATGGTTGCTGCCTCTGACATGCCTTGTCCTGAAAGAGCAAACAGAAAAAGGTGACATATTGAAACACACATTCACTTTAAACTATGTAGTCCTTCTGACACGCCGCAGTGGATCATAGCTAACACTGATGGTAGAAATGTACCAGCTACAATATGATTGAACAACAACAATATAATCATCAGAAGTAATAATCAAATGATATTTAGTAAAAGAACACAGAGACGCTGCTCCATAATGAGTACTTGTACTGTAGACGTACATGTTGCTGATGACACTCACTAACTGCAGGGCTTCTATTGCAGTGTTTAAATCTCTGTGCTGCTACTTTTACTTACGCAAAAGATTAGAATAATTCGTACACCTCTGATTCAGTCGGAGATCATTACAAGACAAACTATGAACATTATAAAACATGAACATGGTTGTTCTTTGAGATAGTGGCCCAACCAAAGTACTTTAACATAATACCATACATTTTTATAGAAAACTGTTAATTGATAGGGGAAGATAAAGTCCTTCACATCCCAGAGAGAGAGAGTGAGAGAGAGAGATGTAGAGAGTAGAGAGAGAGAGAGAGAGAGAGAGAGAGAGAGAGAGAGAGAGCGAGAGATGTAGAGAGAGAGAGAGAGAGAGAGAGAGATGTAGAGAGTAGAGAGAGAGAGAGAGAGAGAGAGAGAAAGAGAGTAGAGAGAGAGAGAGAGAGAGAGAGCGAGAGATGGAGAGAGAGAGAGAGAGAGAGAGAGAGAGAGAGAGAGAGAGATGTAGAGAGAGAGAGTAGAGAGAGAGAGAGAAAAAGAGAGAGTATGGGGGAGGGAGACATAAAAAGCCTTTAATGGTTCACTATTACCATAGATCATAGTGTGTGTGTGTGTTTGATTGGATGAGGGCCACTCTGTGAACAGTAGCCTACCTTTAAGTGACACGAACAGGTTAATGTCGAGAGTGTAAGCGTCAGGGTGCTGAAGGTAGGGGAGGGGCTCTGGGTCCTGCAGAGGGGGGGGTACAGAAACAAAATGAACAGGAAACAAATGAGGAGGAGGCTCTAATGTCCACACACACACACCAAAACTATAAATGAGGGAGACAAAACTGCTTTTCCATTCTTACACCCTTAACGCTAATGAGACAAAAAGTGTAATTTTGTTCCAAAAGTGGCACCGGAGTTTGGGGCATGTAACAACCGATCCAGAGGTCTCAAATATAAAAGTCTGTTAGTTCTGAAAGACAGAGGGAGGCTCGGTTTAATTGATAGTTAATCAAAGGTGTTCTATCATGGTACGGAAGCCCTGAGGAGCAACTGAGAAAAACATTCAGATCTAAATAGTTTTCTCTCCTGTGTCTATGGCTTAAGAAGAGATTAAAAATAGGTTTTGGCAGGAAAATCTGTCGAAGTTCCTGAATCACATCACCTCAGGGCTTCTGGATCATGGTCTGGTGACTCAAGTCACTACAGAATTTAACATAGTGATTTTGAATAGGGGGTCACTATTGGATGCTTCTCTTTACTGGTGTAAGTTGTGACCACTGAACTAACCTGGATAGGGTTAGGCTCTGCAAAGGGTACCAGCGCCTCCATTGGGATGACCCAGGGTGAGATAGTTGTCCCGAAGTTCTTCCCCAGGAAAGGACCAAGAGGAACATACTCCCACGCCTGGATGTCCCTGGCTGAGAGTAGACACAGATAATACTGCATAAGTATGCAGGTAATTGTTAGATACTGTTGGGCAATAACAGGGAGTCCAAAAAGTTTAAAGAAACTACCAGGAGACCAGGGACTGTTGTGACCTGAACCTTTCTTAAGCAAGCAGAAGGTGAATATGTGTAAGTTCTTCGACTCATGTTTTCCATTATGTTGCAGATACAAAGGATTCCATGATGCTAGAAGACATTTTATTTAAAATAAATCTGGTTAAAAGTGGTATATAGTGGTTTATATAGTAAAGACAGGATTAAAAACATATTCTCTTTTCCTTTTAAATGTCAAGGCAAACCTAACGGCCACATCTATTTAGTTCCAACATGGCAGTTCATAGTAACAGGCTCATATAGCTGAACAGAAAGGGAACCATAAGGGTACATTTCTTGCATAATATTTGATGCTTAAGTGTATTTCAGGGCATAATTCTCTCTTTTGGTTAGGAAAGGTTATTTTCATCTTCAATCATTTCTCTGATTCATTGTTGTAATTCGTTAATTCATAATAAATAGTCTGCTATTGCTGTCGCTGAGCTTCCCCTTCCTTAAAAAAGTGTCAATTTATTTGTAGTGTCATTTCATATTTTGGTGCTTCACATCCAATTACTGAGAAATGTCAAATGTTTTAGATATTAAATGATAGCATGGATTTTTAGACAAAAACAGGACCAAGAATGCATTGTGACAGATAAGTTAGGAGGTTGGCCTGCCAGGTGTGAAATGTTTTGTTAAAAGACGTGTGAACCATTATGCATGCACTCTAGCATGCTATCAAGGTTAGATAAATATGCCGTCAAACTTTTCACTTCAAAAAAATATTAAAATACATTAAAATAATATAATATATAAAGTTATTAAGACACAGTGCATTCGCTCTGTATAAAATCTAGTTCAAAAGTACTCGAGGCAAAAGAATTTAATATGCCATCCATTTACTCTATTTCCCCAAAATGTAATGCACAAAGGAAGTGTAGGAGCTGCTCACAGAGGGACAAAAGTTGAGCAAATATGCACATCATTGATGTTTAGTGTCTAGGCTCCGACTTCGTCACCGTGCACAACGCGGCAGTCAGTGTAGCACAACACTGAGCAGGGAGTGACACTAATAACTTCTCCATTTAATGTGGAGTCAAAGCCCCCAGGTGGAGGCGGGGCTTTTGAAATGCTAATTTGAATTGACCACATAGTTTACAGGTGAGAGCAGGGCTCAAGCCCAGGGGCCCAAGGGCTCACGGGTCCCCGAACCCAGAGCCTGTGCATGAAGTCGCTGATAGTTTTGTTTCCACCAGGGGATTATGTACTCAGTTTTGTGCATGCGTGAGTATGTGTGTGCGCATCTTTGTGTCTGTCTGTCCATACTAATATTGCATACGGCTGGACCCATCATGCCTTATGACTGTATGCTGAAGTGCTTGTGGTTGTGGTGATTCACACTTTTTGTGTGAAAGCATATTTCTTTGACAGTTTTATACCATCATTGACTGCTGACTCCTCACTACTCTTAACTGGCAGGTGGGGGCTGCAAGTGATCTACAAGTGCTGTAGTTTGGACTCTTGTTTCCGCTACACATTCCGAATTGTTCCTCTATTGATTTGCACACCTGGGTAGGATAATTCACAATAGCCACAATAACTATAGCTTACAAAGTGAACCGAGTGCTGACTACAACAGAGCCGGTAGAGCTAGTTAGCTGTTAGCAGCCGCTAAGAGGCTTTATACGTCCCTACCCAGGGGTCCATTGTCTGCTAATGGTATGCAGCCCTTGTTCATACTATATACAGTTAGCATGGGATTGGGACACACCTCACAGCAAAGCAATGTTGCACACAATACCAGTAACCCCCTACACCTGGGGTCCCATAGGGGTCCTCCACTGTGAAGCTGTCTCTGTCCTCACAAGGACACGGCTCATTGGCCGATGCCTTCCCTCTCCCACTGTGAGCCTTTTACAAATTACTTTTCAATTAAGCCACTGTGCACCATTGAGAACAGAGGGAAGAAGAAGAAAGGGGGGGCATTTAACTTAGCGTGCATTTTTATGGTATGACAGGATGGCAAATATTCAGAGAGCTAGTGGTGAACTCAGGTCTCCTGAGGGCTTCAGTAAGTACTAAATGAAAGCTGTCAGTTCCCTTTCAAGCTGCACATTCAGCAGAAATGTCACAGACTGAAAAATCTCTCACACTGTGCTGTGGTGAGAAAAATTAAAACTGACGCCTTCTGAACAGAAGTATCTGTCACAGCACGAGCATGATGGGCTGTGGTTGAGATGGTCAGTGTGGAGAATGTGTGGCAGTGTGCTGGAGAACATTACAAAGGCAAAACAGCAAACTTTGATAGCAGAAAGAACACATTCTTTCTCTTAGTGGAGATAAGAAGAGAAAAAGATGAACTTGTTAGCAATAAAACATGCCCTTCCTAAACTTAATATACTCTTTTTTTTTCTACTGCAGCCCAACTCGGTCTGGTATGACCAGTAGCTTATGGGGACTAATGGTAGCTAATGTAGTTATTGTGCATCTGCCATTCAGTCATCTCAAGCATTCTCATAATACCCTTGCTGTCATTGTTTGAGGCTGTCAATCATATCAGCTGATCAGCTGGTCTCTTCTATCTAATAGTAGTACAGTGACAACCCTACATTGTTAGCCTATCATCTTGCTTAAATTAGGTTCTCTCTCTGCCTTTTGTAAGCTCATGCTGCTGTTCCACTCGCCCCTCCACCTCCGCATCACTGCCCATCTTCATCATTTCATTAGCCTCATCAGCCACCACCAGTGTTTGGACTCCACGGGGGGATTTATGTTGCTGCTGCTCAGGGTAGACATCTACTTGTACAGTCCAAGCATGAGACAACTTGTTTTATTTAAACTGTTTCAGACAATATACGTATAACTGATCCTAACCAATGATGCTTCAGAAGATGTACTGTATGTTCTCCTGTGTTTGTGTACAGCAGACATCCAGGTTAAACTAGCTAGTTTTTAGAGACCGCTCTGTATTTCTAAGTCAAAAGTAATGTGTTTTGTACTTTTCAGATTGTAAGTAGAAGTAAAACTTAAGGGTTTTCACTGAACACTGATAAAAACAGGCCCTGTGACATGGCCCTTGGATCGGTGTGTTCTGCAGATCCAAAAATAAATCTAATAGAATTCAGTCTGTGAAGATTTAAAGTTTCTGGTCAAGTTTTGCACACCAGTAATTCACCTCAGCAAAACTTCATCTTAAGTAAGTCTTCCAGTTGTTTCACATGCCTGCTCTCTCTGTGCATGAGCTCTGAGCCGTCACTGCTCTCAGGCATACACTAAGACAAAGCTAGCATCAAATCAATCCACAGCTGACTTCACAGATTCCCTGTTCCTCACAGACTGCTGACAAATGATGAAAGTGGATCCAGAGTAGAGTTTTGAGAGAAGGCCCAAGGCAAAATGAGAAACTGTTTAATTCCACTAGAATGTGTCATGGACCACTATAAATTAGCCCAATCAGAGAATGTTTAAGGATGATTATTGTCCTGACATGTTCATATTACCATATCTACTATGTCCCCACATACCATTCTGACAGTTAAATTAAAGGTCCTGGGTCTATAGACTTATGCAGCAAAAAGGCTCTTCAGTTATCTCAATCCTTTGATACATAAAAAAAATCTAAAAATATTTGTGCACCACTGCTATATGAATGCAATACATAAATAAACTCATTTTTTTAGATGTATAATTTTATTGAGGTTTGATACATTTGGATCTGCTTGCTCTAATCTGTAAAGTTAGACAGATCATCAAGTGAGGGGCCTCAGTTAAGGGTTTGATGTGAGTTTTAGCAGTTAATGCTTGTGTAAAATCAGACAACTCCCAGACCGGACAACGCAACCTGTCAATCACCGTGTAGCCCCGCCCTAAAGCATCCCCTGCTTTATGGTCTGTGTGACTCTAAATGGACCATAATGTACTAAATGAACATCATGCTGTATTGAAGAAGACTTGAAACTAGAGATTGAGACCATAAACTCATGTTTACAATGTTTACTGAGGTAATAAATCAAGAGAGAAGTAGAGTCATTTTCTCATAGACTTCTATACAACCAGAGGAGTCGCCCCCTGGTGGTCACTAGAAAGAATGCAGCTTTAAGACATGAAGCTTTGGCTTCACTTTACAGACCCAGAGGTTGCTGCCTGGTTGGAAGTCTATTTATGTATAACTTCAGTGTAACCTGAAGACAAGTGGCCAAGAACTGGAATAGCAAGGAGAGCTGTTTAATCAGACTGTAGCTGTAACCCTGCATTAACTACAAATCTCTTTTCAGCCTCCTGGTGTTACTGCTCTCACACCTTTTTAAGCTGAATTTCACAGTATATTTGTCATCATCATAGTACTTGATATCAAGGAACAGGAAACATAGGAGAATAGGGTCACCATTAGAAGAAACAACCCAAAGTACAATTTGGGTTTGGGTCTGAGGGTATAATTCACATTTGTTGTAATTGATTTCTGCTGGCAGAGAGGGAGGAACGTTTTCGGCAGGCTGCAGGATGACTGATGTAGGAGTAAAGAGGAATATTGGAGAGAATAATAGTCACAGGGCAATCGCACCATGCATGTCCTCTCCAGAGATTTACAGTTCAATCAATAATACATATACCCACTCATGTTTTGATGAGGACTGACTCCGCCATTTAATCTAAATCCATTTCCATCAAACTAAATCTGAAGTGGCATCAACATTTATAATGCAGAGCTAAATTAAGGAACAAGTGTGCTTCTAAGTGAAATGCCACTGCTAATAAGAGCTGTTTGCCATAATAAAATAAAACCCTCTACAAGCACATGAGGAGGATTTTGGTGTGATGTGTTGTGCAGAGTCTCTTACCACTCCAGTCATTCATGAGTACCATGCCAAAGATGTGTTCATGGGCTTTCTCAATGGGAATGGGCTCCCCGAGCTGATTCCCCCCTCCAACAAAGAAGGCCTAATCAGAGTGAAGAATAAATAGAACAGCACTGACATATTGTACCATATGAAATATCACACAGACTGGTATAAAGCATAAGAGAAGAGCAAGTCTGGCATTTTTACCAGACAACTTTTAACATCTAATATTGTATTAATAAATATAATATTATAAACATGCTGGTGATTCGATTAAGTAAACACTGTAATCACCATCTCCAGCTCAATGTCCAACTGCTTAGACGGGCCAAACACAGGAGGTTTTGCTAGGAGAAAGAAAAAGGCAAGCATAGTTAACATCAGCTGTAAGAGGTTCAACTCTATGTACCTGTATACAGAGGTGAATGTAAGGATATTACTCTGGTCAGGTCTCATCTGGCCTGAGGGACGGCGGATGGGGGTCCCAGAAACAACCACTGATGATGCTCTACCATGGTATCCCACTGGAAGCCTCAACCTGCAAAACACAATACTGAAGACTGAACAGGGACCACAGGATGTACACAGCTTATTGTCAGTCTACATTGTGTATGTTGATAATGTCTCTGAAAGTAGTATTTACGTTATGATTAGAGCGGACAAGCACTTATAATGGATGCAGGGTCACTGGTAAAACCATTCAACTCAGTTACATTCAGTGGTGGGCCGTGCATTTTATATCTGGGCCTTCACTGCTGCCCTGCAGCTGAAATACGGCACCACAGCTATTATTCATCTTTAATGAACGTCTTCGTATAAACCGTTCGGTACGAGTCGTTTGAATAACGCTAGAGCATTTAGAAAATACAAAAGACTAAATTCAGAATAATATAATGTTCTCAGCTGGTCTGGCTGTGGGATCCACTGCCATTCCTTAATGACAAGCCATGACCCAAAGAGAATATTTTAGGATTTTACTTTCACAACCTGAATGTTTAACGTACTGCTCTGCAATGTCTTTCCCCGTCTCAGCACCCTCTCTCATGGTGGATCTCACTCAGTCAGAATGCATTTTGATTGGCTGAGCTGCATCACGTGATGTGATTCACTACCCATCAGCCTCTGCTGGCTGTTAAGTTTCGTTTCACGATAGTCACGTGCTCGCCCACTGACCAATCACAGCACACTCTGTACCTCGCGGGAAAGCTACACATGGACACTGGCGGCATGTAATGCTGACGTCATTATAGGCCGGCGCGCAGGCTCTGATAGTCAAAAAATACGCCCAACATGTCAAACTAAAGATCTGATTGGTTGAACACTATGACAATCAACAATATCGTCCCCATTCACTTAAACTGCACATGGATGCACTTGTGAGTCTGCAGGCCTCGGGCCTCTGTTCTTACCTAGAGACACAGAGGTGAGATCTGATTGGATAAAAGCTCTACTTAAAACAAGCTGCACTGGAAGCAGAGCAACTGAGGAAAACAGTAGCTGTGCAATGAGAAAATAAGATAATAGGAAAAATAATATTTTTATAAATTATAATACATGTAGTGTATTTAAGAAAAAATATTAAATTATAAAATAGATTATATAGAATATATATATATATATATATATATATATATATATATTTATTTTTATTATTATTATTTTTAAAAATATATATAGCTTTGTGATTCTGTTTAGGCCAGCAGAGAAGGCCTTGCAGGCCCTGACGGCCCGCCACTGGTTACATTACAAAGACAATGAGCACGTAAAGATGCCTCAGTACTGCCCAGGTGATCTCTGGGAAGTGAAGTGCAGAAGTGCCACAGTAATGACTGCTTTGACTTAAAGATTGACACAAGTAGTTCAATACATTGCTGTGTTTGTTTGTTTTGATCACTATCTGCCATTAAACCTCTACTGAGGGTAAAAAATATGATTTGATAAAAAAACTTGAAGAAGCCACAGTAATAGACATGTAGTGGTCTGGCCTCCTTATCTATATTACACAGATTCAAAAAGATTGTATCCATCTTCAAAGAATTATTGCTAAAACGTATCCTGAACCCTGAAATTTGACCTGGGGAGTTCCAAGAACAGCCTGCCAATCACCTGCTTAACCAAAGGGCAGTGGGTCCGAGCCGCCTTAGCATTCCTCTCATGAGGGCCGAGAACAAATGAAGGCTGTCTGTGCTGTGTGACTGAGGCTTGCTGCAGGGATGCTCCCACAGCGCTGCTGCACTGTTTGAATGCACACTGATGTTCTGGGGCCCAAATCAATTAGAGAAACCTCGTAGTGTCCCTCCACATATGACTGTTGCAGAGAGCCTGGAACAATTAGTTTCAAGCTCTCTTTCAATATCTGCCCCCACACTGGGAATGTATCAAGGCCTTGTTATATTCTACCAGCAGCTGTTAGTGTCTACTGCTGGTTAGATTGATAGTGTACCAGTTTGGCATCAGAGCATTCTCCTTCCCCCGGAACATGGTGCCAACGTTGGTGGCGTGGTCTCTGGAGGAGTAGAAGTCGGTGTAATCGCCTTTGAAAGACAGATAAGACAGTTCATGAGAGGAAAAGGCTGAAATATTCACATACCCTTCTGTTATTAGTGAGGTCTATCAGCATGAACCTGACTGGATGAGCCGAGTGTTGCTAGAAATGTAATGTCTTGTTAAACAGTGCCCCCTGGTGCTGATGTACCTCAAGTCCATTTAACTATGTAAATGTTATTTTCTGCATTTAGATCTACTTAACAAGTAAGCAAACGGTCATTGTGCCTTCCATTATGACACAACTCTAACCAATCATACTAATGTCTGCATTATTAATGAATTGAAGGTAACTATTGGTAACTTTTATAAAAATGACTTATTGTCATATTATCTCAAACTGTCACTCTATCCTGACAGAAGTACATCAGACAGATAATCAGTGAAGATATCTGGTTCCTCTGCCTTCTCTTAGTGCTCCTAATGGCATTTGCAAAGTCCACCGTGCCTGAAGGTAAACCACCAATCAGAGCCAAGGAGTCTAGCGCAGCTGTCCGTCACTGCTCATGAAGCCATGTTTTCAGAAATGTATTTTAGTGTACTTTAAAAATGAGAAAACAAGAAAGTGAGCTAAGTCTTTAACTTCAAAAGCTCAAACAACCGCATTACTCAGGATGTGTGAGGGGACAGCAATAGATAGAAGTGATGCTAAAGGGGAGGTCACATCTCTAACAGGACAGGCTCACCAATGTCTGCAGGAAGGTGCATGGTGGCTGTGCTCTGATGGACAAATGCTCTGCAGAGACAAAGAACAGAAAGACAACAATCACTGGTGAAATAAGCTGTCTCAAAAAAGAAGCAAGATTCTGCCCGCAAATAGAGCATTATAGAATATATAGAATATACAGCTGGGTTTCCACTCTACAATGAACCATTTCCCAGAACAATACAATTCATTGACATGTTTCTGAAAAAAGATGAAGACCACAGACCTGTAGCGTGACAATTTTAACTTTCATATTTTGTTGTATTGTATTTTCATCACATATCGTAACCACTCAATGATGAAGGCTGTTTAAGCCTGTAAGTAGACTTCTACATCCACAGACTCCACAGACTGACCTGCTCCGAAGGCTGACATCATCTCTCAGTGTGCTCTCATTGGCTGACAGCAACCCCTGCAAGGTCCTCCTGGCCTCCCTCCAGGCCTCATAACCAAGAGCCATGAAAGCATTCAGTGTGGACTTGTAGGGGGACACAGATAACAAGTCAAATCTGATACAGAAAGCAGCCCATCGAATTATCACTTGACTTACTTTTAGAATGCAAAATCTACAGTATGATAGGACTTTTAGTGGAGTCCTGCATTAATGTTACTGCCACATTTGTTCAGGTTCAGGGGTTTTTCTGTGTGGGGGTTGAGTGAAAGGGTGTGTGAGAGAGCAGGTCCAATACCAATTCAAAATCAAAACAGCTACTGGCAGCAGTAGAAGAAGTCCTCAGATCCTGTACTTAAGTATAAGGTAACATAGGGCAATAATCCTTTACAAGAAAGCATTCTGCATTTATAATTTGACTTAGGGAGTAGAACTGGCAATCAACAAAGTAACAGTACCAAAATACTGATTATACATACTGATCTTGGCTGTATTTTCCTATAATATTATATTTATTACTACAGCATGAATGTGTAAGCATCATATTAATGTATCTGGTCAAGCAAGAGCTAATTAAGGAACATTATCGACTAACTGGACTTACTGTAGTATCAGTATGATGATACCATGATGCTGTAGATCTGATTCATGTCAGGTAGAGAGCTAAGCTGATTTATGTTGCATCTTCTCTGATTACTATTATTAGGGATTAAATTTACCTGCTCAAACACATCCCGATGTTTGGAAATCACAGGTCCTCGAAACAAAGACATAATCACACTGAGGTCCAGAATCTGGTCTCCAATGGCAACACCAATGCGACGTTTGGGCTGGGAAAACAAAAGTCACTGACGTAATGATCCACACTCCACTACTCTGCATCCATCATGTCTGTTCTTTCAATCTACAATGTCTCATCCAGCAAGCCAAGTACTTTCATGTTTCATGTTCATGTTTCATGTTTCATGATGAGAGTGGAAAGGTCCAGGATTGTCAGTGCACTCTCAGCTGCCACGCACACTTTAACATACATCCTCTCCCTCAGTACACTTCAGCAAGCTCAGATCCTTTTTTTCCTCAAAGACCCACAGTTATGTGAGTATTTTATTTTGAAAACCATGACCTCAATGTGCCTGACCTGACAACACTTTTTCTTTTTGCAAACCCAGAAGAAATAACCAAACTGCACTTACATGATCAGGTGTGGAGAATATTCCATAAGGGAGGTTGTGGAAGGAGAACTCTGATGAAGCCTCTACTTTTAGGAAGGACATCTTCACTTTGGCAGTGGTATTCCTCTCAACCTTACTGAGTTACTGAGTTACTGAGTGAATGAGCAGCAGCAGCGAGCTCTTCCAGATGTTTGACTGTAGACAGGCCCGCCTCCCGTTGCAGAACCAATCACATGCTGCCTATAGTATCCACCCTCATACTGCCTCTTTGGAAGTTAATGCAAACCAGCCTGGTGAATGACTAAGCAAAATCAAGTTACTGATAAGCCTTATGGAAACTTGAGAGAAAAGCCCTGATTCTAATATGTTTAGTGTAAACACAGTTTAATGAGAAAAAATACAATTTGAAACATTCCAACATGAACAGTGAATATGTCAACAGAAAAATGTGGAAAGTTTCATATTTAGTGTAAGACATAAAATAATGATGAAACGCATAAATCAGGCTTATGGAAAATAAATGGAGTGAATGTATTTGATGTAACTCAATCAACCTAAACTAATTGAAAACAACATATCAAGAGCCCTCAATCAAAAAGGTGTATGGCAAAAAGAATGAATAGTTTTTAATATGATTGAAAACAAATCTCTAACCAAAGGCCAAACACATATGAGGGTGTAAACTAACTAGCCAAGGCTGTCTGTCAGTGTGTCTGTTTTTCACTATCTGTTTACACACAGGTCCTGTTGGATCTTCGACAGCCCTTGACATTCGATTTTAACAATCAAATTTTCTTTTATTTGTATGCTTATATTTTTAAAGTTACTTTTAATGAGGTTTTAAATAAATATTCATGATATGATTTCTAACTCAGAGATGCTGATCAGCCACACATGTATCTCTAGAGCTGCTTATGATTATTTGGTTAAAAAAACTACAGATTGGGCTGTTGGCCTCCCTAAACTTCCGGTATGCAGCTGACGTCAGAGACATGCGGCGTAGTGATACTATGGTGTGGAGTCTTTAATGGACTGTTCAGTCGTGTGTGAGTCCTTGCTGGCAGTAGCGTTAGCTGGTCTCATACTGTTATCGCCGCCTCTCATGTGTTGATATACTTGTTAATGTTTAACGACTGGAAGCAAAAAAACACTGTCGAAGTCGGCTCTTCCACAGTAATAACAACCGACACGCATACGGAACGCACTTCACAGAGTTTTTTGTCAAACATCATTTTTACTGAACGTCCGCTTGATTTGAAGTTCTCAGGCAGAATGGCCGCCTTGCGTGCAGCAAAGCAAGCTCTGAGGAAAGAAATAAAGCGAAGGGTTGCAGCGTTGAGTGACGAGGAGAAACAACGACAGTCTCTAGTCCTCTCACGGCAGGTAAGGGAGAGCTGACTCAGACTGGCGGATTTGAAAGTTACTTTTATGGTGTAGAACCTTTTTTACATGTATAGGACCAGTCTTTCAATTTTCCCGTAGACCATCTGTAACATGACGCTATCATTTGAATTAAAGGTTGCTTTCCTCCGGTGTTAACACACATAACAACACATGGGATTTCAGAAGTATACTTTTAACGTTGTCAGCTATTGCTCAAAATGTACGGAAGCCGAGAACGGCCGTGCTAGCAATTATTTTATGAATGTCGTTATCTTGAGAGCACACGTTAATATTTTCGTTATCAGCCGAAAACAAGAGATTATTTGCACTTATTACTTATTAGTTCATGTTTGTCAGAGAGCAGGGTACAATGCCAGATGACTGCTGTCGAGCCTTCACTCCCATCTCGAGTCATATCAGCTGATGCTAACGTTTGAGTGCACCCATATACCGACACTCACGGCCAAGACCGAGCTGACAATAGACTATGAAGAAGTCTGTATACAAAAAGCACGATATAAAACGACTATGTATAAAAAGTCTATACAGTGTGTGGAGCTGACAGCTGGTGACGGACATGACAAAGCTAGCGGACGTATGTGTGACTATGTAAAAATAAGATTATATTTGCATTATATTTACAAGACGTATAACACGTGTAACCTGCGTCCCTTATACATTATAATTATTAAAATACCACTAAATTGTAAGGCAAATATCTTAAACCTTTCATTTTTGGTTTGCTGGAGAATATCATCTCAGACATTTTTTTATAACTTTTGTGAACACCTTATTTTGAAAACCGGATGTAATCACACAGTATGACAAAAATCTTTTTTTTTTTATCTGGAGGTTTCACGGTATATCAAAGTATTTTTAGTGCCCGAGCACCGACAAAGTCATTTATTTACTGAAGTTGGGTGCTTAAATCTACAATTCATTCATACAATATTTAATGCTGCTGTCGTTATTAATAATATTAATTTCTTCTAATGTTAACCAAAGAATCTTTTGCATTTTTGCCTGAAATTGATTGAGAAATTAAATAGTTGACGTTTATTTTTCGACTAATAGATTAATCAGCTTAGTGCATTCACTGAGGAGAAACTATAATGTTATTTACATCTTTGATATTTATAAAGAAATCATGGATGACAATAATTAATTTACAGCCCTTGCTCCTGTGCTCTAATAATGTCACACAGATTTAAACTTTCTCTTACTCTGCATGTTTTGTAGCTGTTCAGACACCCCAAGTATCTGTCCTGTAAGAGGATTGCTGTGTTTCTCAGCATGGATGATGAGGTGCGCACCGAGGAAATCATCAAAGACGTGTTTAAATGGGGTAAAAGCTGCTTCATTCCAAGATATGAGAGCAACGGCAGCCGTATGGACATGTTAAAGCTCAACAGTCTGCAGGACATGGAGACGCTGCCTCTGACATCATGGAACATCACACAGCCGGCTGAAGATGACAACAGCAGAGAGGAAGCACTGGCTGCAGGTAAGCATGGACACACACATCCATCTACAGTCTACATTTTAATCTGCATATTGCTGATTAACAGGTCACACAGCTCTTCTCCACCGATGTCTATTCTCAATTAGGGTTGCACGGTGTATCGATACTAAAAAGGTACCGCGGTACCTGTACGTTTAAAAACGATACGATTTTGCATATTTTTAGTATCGATACTTTATTAAAATAGCGCGCGATCAGAGCGCACTCGCTGCTCCGCTCACTGTCATGCTGCCTGCAGGCATTGACTGCAAGGGGGCGGGGCTGCTCAGCGCTCACACAGCAACAGGCAGCACTCACTCACAGCGAGTGATCACAGGGGAGACATGCAGGAGCTTTTGCCGACCGTCCTCGGCTTGTTGAAAAACAAGATGCCAGAAGTATCATCTGGAAGTACTTTGGCTATATTGCAGACAGTGAAGGAAAGCCCACTGACCTACAGAGACCCGTTTGCAAAAAGTGTTTCAAAGCCACACAGACCAAGGGAGGCAACACGTCTAACATGGCAAAGCACCTTTCAGACAGACACACCGAACTTTTCAAAGAGTTCAAAGAACGACAGGTAAGCAAATGTGATTATAAACATGAACACCCCGAATCTCCCATATACAGCCTAACAGGAGTAGCCTTAGCCTAGTTTGCGAGAAGCCTATATGATGATGAGGTCACAAACTCACAATGCACACAAAAGTGTACTAAATGAAACACAATTGATGCAAAATGGCTACATGCTGGTGGAGCCTGAGGGTGGATCTTGAGCTAATTATTTTTATTTAAGGAAAAATAATTATTCCATGAATTAAGATAAAATATGAAGTGAAAATATCAAACTCACTATGCAAGTAAATGAAGCATTGTTTATCCACCCACTCCCACAGACAGTCAGACAGATGCCAGCAGAGTCAGCAGCAACACAGAGACAGAGTTCCCTTCAGCTGTGTTTGAAAGCCAGCGGAAATATGAGAGAGGCTCAAAAGATGCGAAGAGGTTAAACATTAATATTAATGCCATTTGTTAAGTGTTCAAAAAGCTGGGCAGGAACAAGCTGGTAAAAAGGGAACCGTACAGATGTTTTATTTATTACTATTATAGATAATTATACCAGTATCGTGTCGTATTTGTGGTATTGTATCAAATTCTGGTATCGTAAGTATCGGGTATCGTGATACTTATGGCAGGTATCGTATCGAAGTCATAATTTTGGTATCGTGACAACCCTATTCTCAATATGGCTCCAGCTTTTAGCTACTATATAGCTGAGTAGTAGTACCACAGAGAATTGTGTAGTATGTTAGTTTGGTTTGACTCAGCCTGTTCTCACTCCCAGGGCGTCAAATTCCAAGGCTTGGGCAGAGGCCCATGGTCTCTGATACCGACGCACAAGGCACCTTTTAGCATCAGTATGAGATGTGACACGCTTTGAACCATGTCCAATGTAAACCCACCTGTGTCATTATTAGACATACACTAACCAAGGAGATTTGTTGCTTTTTGGTGACCACAAGTTACAATCTTAACCTCCACCGTTTCACAACGTTGACCACAAGTTACAACCTTAACCTCCACCGTTTCACAACGTTAACCACAAGTTACAATCTTAACCTCCACCGTTTCACAACGTTGACCACAAGTTACAACCTTAACCTCCACCGTTTCACAACGTTGACCACAAGTTACAATCTTAACCTCCACCGTTTCACAACGTTGACCACAAGTTACAATCTTAACCTCCACCGTTTCACAACGTTGACCACAAGTTACAACCTTAACCTCCACCGTTTCACAATGTTAACCATGCGTGAACCTTCTGCTTCTAGATACTACGGGCGCTTCTGCCCGAGCAGCAAAATATGACAATTATGGATGAAATCATGTTGTGTGCTCACAGTGTGTGCACTCTCAGATTTAGAAATGAATTTCAATCATCGTCATACAATGCTCTTTAATATGATTTTGATTTAAATAAAATTAATTAAATTGATACTAGAGATGTCCCTAGCAGATTTGCAGGATCAAGCTCAGAGCTGCTTCAGGCAATTTGTGCTCCAGATACACTTCCTGTATACAATGTAGCATGTTGTTCTTTGGAGTAGTGGAAGTGTAGTGGGAGGGATTAAACCACATGTAAACGGTTCAGAAGTTTCAGTAAAGGATGCAAGCACATTTGGGTACATTTTGCAAGTGCACCACACCTTTAAACTGCATACCATTCTGTTATATTACAATTCTCAAAAGTAATGGACTTAGATTGAGATTGGCTGGAGAATCATTTCTTATCACTTTTATTTATTTATATTATTTTCTCATCATGACAAAAAAAAAATGTTGGGGAAGCCTCTGAGTGAGTTACAGGAAATGTGCTGCATTAAGTAACATGAGTCGGTTGAATCTTGCCCACCAGCCAAAGCTCTGAATATTTGCGGCCGAATATTAGGGGTGGGAATCACCAGAGGTCCCGCGATACGATATTATCACGATACTTAGGTCACGATACTTGGGTCACGATACTGCGATATTATCACGATACTGCGGTATTCTGAGTATTGCGATAACATAGGCCTATATTGCGTTTTCTTACTTTTTTCAACTTCAAATTATGTCCCCAAAGGAAAACTGTGTCAACATGTTTTATCTAATAAGATAAAGTTTTCAGTCTGTTCATCTCACTTCAATCATTTTTATTGCAGCAGAATAGGATTGTCAAGCAGACAGACTGACCAACAATGTCATAAATGTTGCATGAACCTGACAAACTGAACTGTTTGTATTACTACATAGTCCAACTTAACTAAATGCAAACGTGTGGACTCAGTATATGAACTATAACTTATATAAGTAGGATATAAGAGTTATATAACTCAGTATAACTTGCGATGCGTGGACGTCAAGGGCAGAGAGACAGTTATGCGCTGCACTCTCCCCATGAGCCTGGCTACTGTTGGCAGATTTAACCCCGTTGTGAGGCCAGATTGAGCGTGTGAGCGAAACACTTCACATGCAGGAATCCCGCTAACTGAACGGCAACGCCCACGTTAGAAGCGTTGTTACAACCACCAGGCTTTTGTCGGCAATCCCCCATCTTGTGCTGCATTTTGCAGGAGGTCTGTAATGTTTGCCCCGGTGTGACTTACGTGTACTGCTCTAGTTTGGAGAACGTGAGACAGCAGTCGCCAGTCCCCTGAGATATTGTGCTGTTATAGTCACATAGGAATCCACTGCGTTTGACGTCCACGCATCGCAAGTTAATGCAACTCTTTCTGCTGTACTCGAAGACGCCTCAACTTTAAGCTTCACTTCTCTGTAGAGCAGTGGTTCTCAAACTGTGGGGCGCGCCCCTCTAGTGGGGCGCGGTGGTATTACAGGTGGTGCGTAGGGGGAAATGCATATACCTGTATATATATTTTTTTTAAGTAATTAATAAATACATGGCGAAATGTATGGAAGCCCGTTTCTGCCACTGTGAGGAAAAAATACAGATCCTGTAAGTCATTATTATGAGATACTATCTCTAAATAATGACTTAGCATCTCATAATTATGACTTACTATCTCATAATAATGAGATGCGTATCTCATAATAATGAGATATGACTTAGAGACTGAGGGCGGGGCATAGCAGAGCAGGGTTACGGTTTAAGAAGGGACCTTGTTAACTGGTGACCTTCAGCCAAACTCAAATGAACTCAGCTCGACACATCTGTGTTCTTGGCTGGTTGAATTCTTAGTTTTATGGCTTTGCTTTTCTTGTTGCCTCTGATGCGTTATTGTCCACATTGTGTATTTTCACCTCATGACAACATCACAAACATCTGCCTCATTAAGTTGCAGCGCTACAAAGATTTGTCTCGGAAACCAGCTGTATTGTAAACTGCTCCGTAGTACACGTCAAAATGCTCCATGGTAAACACGCAATCTGGTTTACTTAAAAGTGATTGCAATTTTCTTTCTTCTATTATTTGAAAAAGCAGAGACGGAGGAGTCACAAAATGTTATTTCAATAAAAATTCAACATAGACCATTTTGTTACAATTTTGTTGGGGCGGTGGGGCATGAACATTTTTTCTTCCTCAAAAGTGGGGCGCGACAGAAAAAGCAGTGCCTCAAAACCCATAGTTTTTGAGCAGAAAAGGCAAATAGACACAAACACAAAGTTATCAAAGTGTAGTTATTATAAACTGTTACCGATTTTTGTTTGGTTTAATATGTGATAGGAACTATTGTTACGTCCAATGTTGCTCTGGGGACATATTTAGCCGGTGCCAGTGTTGCCAACTTGGCGACTTTCTCGCTAAATCTGGCCAATTTCCAAACCCTCATGGCGACTTTTTTTGTCAAAAGCTACTAGTGACAAATCTAGCGACTTGTTCTGGTGTTGTTGGAGACTTTTGTGGTGTTTTGACTCCACTGATTGCTGGTAATAGAGTATGTAAATACCTATTAATTTTAGTAGTACAGCCTGCACAAGAACAAAGATGAAACTATAAAGTATTTTAAATTATAAATAAAGTATTTCTATGCATGAGTACCACCAGAAAAGGTTGTCTACATTCTTCAACCAGGGGAGGAGGATGTCATTGCCTTTGACCTGTGCAGCCTTGAGAGATCCGATAGCAAACATTAGAATTGAGTTTTTTCAACAAATCAAACATGGTCATAGGTCATAAACTACACTTACTGCTGCAAACGTTTTGGCTAGGTTTTTGGCACAGTGCCACATGTCAAGTGTGTCTTTTATCCAGAGGTCTTTGTATCTTATTCTCTCTGGGTCTGAAAAGGGAGGACATACAGTATTACTCTGACTTATAGATGCATCTTTTGTAGAATATAACCATCTATCAATACCATTGGCATGTATACTCACTAATGAAGGTTCCAGTGTGGACATGTGCATGTGCTGTACATGGAAACTGAGCTGCATGTAATGCTGACGTAGCTATAGGCCGGCTAGAAGGCTCTGACATGTCAAAGAATACGCCTAACATGTCAAACTAAAGATCTGATTGGTTGAACACTATGACAATCAACAATATCATCCCCATTCACTTAAATCTGCACTGGCTGCAGGTGAGAGTCTGCAGGCCTCTGCCTCTCTTCTTGCCTAGAGACACAGAGGTGAAATCTGATTGGATAAAATCTCTACTTAAAACAAGCTGCACTGGAAGCAGAGCAACTGAGGAAGACAGGAGCTGTGCAATGAGAAAATAAGATAATGGGGGAAATATTTGTATAAATTATAATACATGTAGTGTATTTATGAAAAGTTATTAAATTATAAAATAGATATTCCGTTGTGATTCTGTCTAGGCCAGCAGAGAAGGCCTTGCAGGCCCTGACGGCCCACCACTGGTCCACAATGACCATAAGGCTATATCAATACACAGCTAAAGGATGGTTTTGGTTGCTATATTTACAGAGCAAGCTAAAAAGCATGGGAAGCAGTACAGTTAACGTAACGTGTGCTCCCCATGTTGTATTACATTATCGGGTCTAAACATTGCTTGGGCCGGACTACCAAACGTTGTCTCACGGTTCGGCACGTCTGGACCGCGGATTAATTACACAGTTTTACGTTATCCATCAGTGTGGAATACGTTTTACTGACAATTTTTCAGTAAAATATGTGATCAGGACATCATTTATGCATCTCTAGTTGCCAATGTCTGATAATGTTACATTGTAAACAACCAATCAGTGTTTAAATCAACAGGAGAGCTAGTAACGTTAGCAGCACCGCTAACAGCTAATGAATAACAGTTACCTTCAGTTACATTATGATACGTTCAGGCTCTGTTCAGTGAAAGAGGATTGGGCGAAGTTAAACTGTAACATTATCATGATGTGTTTATGTGTAATCTCGTAAAATGTAGTGTTGGTGAGAAACTTGTTTTTGTTGTGTTGAACATGGGTTACAACTGAATTTCGTAGTGCATCCCTGTGTTGTATAATGACAATAAATGATCCTGGAATCCTTGAATAGTGTATGTTTATGAAGAAAAGAAAACACTATAAATGACTTACTAAGTAAAAGTATAACTTTTACAATTTTTGATGCTTTTTATTCATATGGTAATTTATTTCATAATGTGTTTTTATTTATTAATACTGAACACTTTGGGGTCTCAAAGTGTCAGACCCAAATCATTGTTTCACCGTGATGTGGTGAAGACCTTGGCTTATGTGGAGAGAGCATGCGCAGTTCAGTCATCTAGTAGAAGTAGAGATATTTCACTAACATGACTTTGAGCTGCTGTTGGCATCAGATAAACGATCAATGGATTCATCCTCTGGAGACCACCGTGGTGTTGAACAAACAGATATTTCAGACTTGATCAAAGTGGTAAAGCGACAAACAAAAGAACTTTTTTATACACAGAGCGTTGCTCCTGGTGTGGTTAAAAAGTGTTTGACTTTTATTTCACCATCAATATTATTGTATAGTGCTGTCCATATTTACAGGCAAGGGCTGCCAGTCCAGACCTCTATCACTGATTACACTGTCTGCTCTCATTATCTAGGAGGTCTGGACCTGATCTTGATGCCAGGCCTGGGTTTTGACCGGTTGGGGAGACGTCTGGGAAGAGGGAAGGGCTTCTATGACACCTACTTGGAGCGCTGCATCAGACACCCCAAAGGAAAGCCCTACACCATCGCCTTGGCCTTCAAAGAGCAGCTGTGTCAGGAAATCCCTGTCGACGACAATGATGTGCTCATAGATGAAATCCTGTATGAGGATGAAGAGTAGCTAATCAGTCACCACCTGTGGTCCATGAACTCTAAACTGGCTGTATTTACATGTCAAAGTCCGCCAACCGGTTAACCTGGCCTTTCAATGGAACACTCTGGCCGTGGTTACACTTCTCTTCTCCCTGACTCTTTTGGTCGTATGCACCTGATGAGAACTTAGCTGTCCACACTTCAGTGTGACCCGCCTGATCAAACAGTGATCGGATATATTTTGTGGTCAAATGGGCGACTGTAAAACGGTGGATAAACACATTTAATTTCTTGTATATTCTTCACAATAAAAGCCCCTCATTATGTTGTTATTCAAGAGCTTTTATTTTGAAGCAGCAGAATCATGACATGTTGGGTTTTCATCAGCAGTAAGGTAACGGGACTCAGACAGCAGGTCTCAGCTGGAGGAGCCCAGGATGAACTAATGCGTGCTATTCCTCCTCTGCTATTCCTGCTGACTTGTCAAAAATATGTTATTACATTATGCACGTTAAGCTACTAATTCATGGCTGTTGATTCTTGTGTTGAAGGTGCTGAAATATTGTGCGTGTTCTGCTCTGTATGTCATGCTGCCATAATGAGCTGTTAGGTAATCACCAATTACCTAAAATGAAGAATTGCTTTACACAATTACAGCATTAATGGACAATTAAATTAAAGGCAAATAAATGTTTCTAACATATCTCTTAATGGCTGACGGACCCTGATTGCTGTTATATACAGTTGTGTGAAAAAGTGTTTGCCCCCTTCCTGATTTCTTATTTTTTTGCATGTTTGTCACTTAAATGTTTCAGATCATCAAACAAATTTAAATATTAGACAAAGATAACACAAAATGCAGTTTTTAAATGAAGGTTTTTATTATTAAGGGGGGGAAAAATCCAAACCTACATGGCCCTGTGTGAAAAAGTGAACGCCCCCTAAACCTAATAACTGGTTGGGCCACCCTTAGCAGCAACAACTGCAATCAAGCGTTTGCGATAACTGGCAATGAGTCTTTTACAGCGCTGTAGAGGAATTTTGGCCCACTCATCTTTGCAGAATTGTAATTCAGCCACATTGGAGGGTTTTCGAGCATGAACCGCCTTTTTAAGGTCATGCCACAGCATCTCAATTGGATTCAGGTCGGGACTTTGACTAGGCCACTCCAAAGTCTTCATTTTGTTTTTCTTAAGCCATTCAGAGGTGGACTTGCTGGTGTGTTTTGGATCATTGTCCTGCTGCAGAACCCAAGTGCGTTTCAGCTTGAGGTCACGAACAGATGGCCGGACATTCTCCTTCAGGATTTGTTGGTAGACAGCAGAATTCATGGTTCCATTTACCACAGCAAGTCTTCCAGGTCCTGAAGCAGCAAAACAGCCCCAGACCATCACACTACCACCACCATATTTTACTGTTGGTATGATGTTCCTTTTCTGAAATGCCGTGTTACTTTTACGCCAGATGTAATGGGACATACACCTTCCAAAAAGTTCAACTTTTGTCTCGTCAGTCCACAGAGTATTTTCCCAAAAGTCTTGGGGATCATCAAGATGTTTTCTGGCAAAACTGAGACAAGCCTTTATGTTCTTTTTGCTCAGCAGTGGTTTTCGTCTTGGAACTCTGCCATGCAGGCCATTTTTGCCCAGTCTCTTTCTTATGGTGGAGTCATGAACACTGACCTTAATTGAGGCAAGTGAGGCCTGCAGTTCTTTGGCTGTTGTTCTGGGGTCTTTTGTGACCTCTTGGATGAGTCGTCGCTGCGCTCTTGGGGTAATTTTGGTCGGCCGGCCACTCCTGGGAAGGTTCACCACTGTTCCATGTTTTCGCCATTTGTGGATAATGGCTCTCACTGTGGTTCGCTGGAGTCCCAAAGCTTTAGAAATGGCTTTGTAACCTTTTCCAGACCGATAGATCTCAATTACTTTGTTTCTCATTTGTTCCTGAATTTCTTTGGATCGCAGCATGATGTCTAGCTTTTGAGGATCTTTTGGTCTACCTCACTTTGTCAGGCAGGTCCTATTTAAGTGATTTCTTGATTGAGAACAGGTGTGGCAGTAATCAGGCCTGGGTGTGGCTAGAGAAATTGAACTCAGCTTTCCAAAGATGTGATAAACCAGTTAATTTTTTTTTTAACAGGGGGGGGGCAATCACTTTTTCACACAGGGCCATGTAGGTTTGGATTTTTTTTCCCCCTTTATAATAAAAACCTTCATTTAATAACTGCATTTTGTGTTTACTTGTTATCTTTGTCTAATATTTAAATTTGTTTGATCTGAAACATTTAAGTGACAAACATGCAAAAATAATAACAAATCAGGAAGGGGGCAAACACTTTTTCACACAACTGTATATGCCTCTCACATTGTTGAACATCTTACCACCTCACATGGGGACTGACACATTACCACAGTAGTGATTCTTTGCTGCTAGATAGATTCACTGTGTTATTACTAGTTGGCATATTGAAGCTGAAATCAGTGAAGTTCTACATGCAGGTTTAAAAGCCTGTTGACCACATGACTGTAGTTCCATAATCGGGTCACATGATAACTTGGCAAACTCCATTCATCCATCTTCTTCCTGTTATCTGGGGCCGGGTCGCCGTGGCACTCAACTCCATCAGCTAATAAAGACGTTAAGATGCAGCTGAACGCTCGGGGCAGAAAATGAACATTATTTTGTCAAACTAGCTAATTGATATTTTGTTGCTTCCACTGAAAAACTTGGGAGTCCCCCTCCACTGCAAAATACATTGCTTGTGTTACTTCACTTTGTCCTTCCCTGTGCAGAGTGATGACTGAGCAAAGTGTGCATGGTCAGATGTTTGGTTGGTGCACCTGAAACCACACCGAACAGACATGTCGCACTAAGTAACTTTAGGTATATCTATATAGAGCACCAGGGTTCAACTGAGCCTTAGCCCCGGTGCTATGTTGGATTCTGTTCCCGTCAACTAGTGCTTTCCTCCTGTTAAAATAATAGCACCACCGTAGGTGGTCAGGGAAACAGTATTCGACACAACACCAGCACACAGGTCTGCACACAGGTCTACACTCAATGTTTTTGTGGAGTTTCCTTTTATTCCGAAATTACAAACATGAATGGATGTGTATGGGTCTGTCATGTGTAAAAACAGAGTGAATTTCCCCTTCAGGGATTATTAAGCTTGTAGTAGTCTGTCGTCCTCCGGATAGAAGACAAGAAACAACCTGGACATGCCGTGAACCCATGGGAGGACTAACAGACACTGGACCACTTGGATTTAGCTTCACAAAAGATATTCTAAATATCTTTATCATTTATTGAAATGTAACAGATGTGATTGTTCGGAACAGTTCTGTACTTGTGCCAAGAGCTTTAAGAGTGAGGAAGGGTTGTATGGGAAGAGTTTCTTCGTCTGCAGCCTTGTCACCACCTCTCTGAGCTCGGACAGACAGAGCACTGCTCTGGCTAATGTTCCACAGGTCAGCTGTCCCGACACGGTTAGACATGATGACGTTTGCTCACTCTGCAGCACCGGCAGTGATGGCCCTTCCTGTCTGGAGTTCGGTTTGTAGACCGATGACTCATATTGTCTGTGCCTGATAGGTAGCGGTGGTCCACTAAGCTCTTGCTTCACATCCAAGGCACTAAATCTACCTTTCTCACATGCAGACGGCCCTGGTTCCTCCTGAGAAACCTCCATGTTCTCAGGATCAGACTGGTCAGAACTATCGTACTCGACAAGGTGAAACCCAGCAGCCAAACGGGTGGTTCCCACTGGTGGAATAACACCTGTGGGCTGGACACAGGAGCTGAATTCTACTTGATCTGACTCACCTTTAACCTTCAACATGTCACCACCAGCTGAGGCAGTTGGCGACTGCTGCAGTGAAAGATGACAGTCTGGCAAGCTGATTGTCCCACATGCTGCAGTGAAGCCTCGCCAGTCAGCGCTGAGGTACTTGAGGTACCGCACAAAGTACTCTAGGAAGCAGGTTTCGGTGGAGATGAGGAAGTCAAGGAGGATGCTGTGGTCGAAGGAAATGCTCTGAAGCAGCAGCAGGAAGTGGCAGTGAGCGTTACAGCCAGAGGCACAGGCTGCCTCCAACACAGCCAGCTCATCCAACCCAGAGTACCGTCTGCAGGCAGAAACAAGCCGTTCAGTGAGCTCCTTTTGATAACATGATACCTGGCTCTCCAGGATGCACCAGATGATTTCACTGTTTCTCTTCTCTGGTTGATTGGTGTTAAAGGTTTACTTGTATTTTTTAACCTGGATTCTATTTTTCAATGTTTTTGTGTCTAAGTTAATAAGTTTCATTTCTGAAATGGTTCTAGTAGTGAGGTAAAGTGCACTTATAATAGCACTCTGAGCCTGTCAGTGGTTTAAACAAGTGATTACATTACAGCCCGTTCAGCAGCTGCAGCGTTCTCTCTCCATACTGGACCAATTTCAAAAACTAAGACAGAAAAACGTTGGGAAAATAAGTCCCAAGTTCAAAGACATCAAATTGACCTTTTAAGGTAAGGTCCTATGAATATATGCTCCACTTTGCATTCACATGGGGTCAAGTGTGTAACTGTCCCTCTGCACTGTGCTCTGAGCTCCACCTTTAAATCCCACAGTCACATGGTCCCCCTTAATAAACAGTAATCAGCCAAACCCTTTTTACAATTAATTTTGTTTGCATGTCATGTTGATGAAAATAAATGACACATGCATTACTGTTGTACCTGTGATGGAGGAATATGGAAAACAAAGCTTTGGCTGCCTCCATCATGTCGTCGTCCTGGTCCCCAAACAGCAGGCTGACCCAGCAGCAGCGATGAGTGACCTCTGTCAGCTGGACACTGCACCGCCTCAGGAAGCCCCACAGACTCTGCAGATAGCCGTAGACCTCTGTGGCACTATCCACTCCTGCTGGGACAAGACACAGGAGGGGATCGCATGACTCAACTCACTATGGGAGGAGTGCCCCCTGCTGTGGAAATGCTGTAATACAGAGCGTACAGAACTCCTTACTTACTGCATTACTGACCCACAGGGATGAAAGATTAGTAACATGACCGCAATGAAGGAAAACTTAAAGGTATGGTGTGTCGTCACTTTGTCGGTTGATGGTTGTAAACACAGCATTTAAAATTAGCGCCTCCTCTCGGCTCAATGAGCGAGCGACACAGAGAGAGATGCAGAGAGAGAGAGAGACAGAGAGAGATGCAGAGAGAGAGAGAGACAGAGAGAGATGCAGAGAGAGAGAGAGACAGAGAGAGATGCAGAGAGAGAGAGAGAGAGACAGACACAGAGGGAGAGAGATAGAGAGACAGACAGAGACACAGAGAGACAGACAGAGACACAGGGAGAGAGAGAGAGACACACAGAGACATAGAGAGACAGACAAAGACACAGAGGGAGAGAGAGAGACAGACAGAGACACAGAGAGGGAGAGAGAGAGAGAGACAGACAGAGACACAGAGAGAGAGAGATAGAGAGAGAGAGATGCAGAGAGAGAGAGAGAGAGACAGACAGAGGGAGAGAGATAGAGAGACAGACAGAGACACAGAGAGACAGACAGAGACACAGAGAGAGAGAGAGAGACACACAGAGACATAGAGAGACAGACAAAGACACAGAGAGAGAGAGAGAGACAGACAGAGACACAGAGAGGGAGAGAGATAGAGAGACAGACAGAGACACAGAGAGAGAGAGATAGAGAGACAGACAGAGACACAGAGAGAGACACAGAGGGAGAGAGAGAGAGACACAGAGAGATAGAGACAGATAGAGACGCAGAGAGGGAGAGAGAGAACGAGACAGACAGACAGAGAATCAGAAGAATAAACCAATATTGTCTGATTGTTTCACAGCATTTACGTTCTAAACCATGAATAAACATAACCACATCTCCTCACAAACCTGCTGGAAGGTGCTGGATTTCGAATGAATGCAGCCCAAGGCAGCATCCTGTGGGCTGCATGCTCTCTGAGTCTGTTGGCATCAGGCCTGTGAGGTCTGTGAGCCTCCCTACTCAGAGGGGCGGGACAAAGCTAACCCTGCTGGGGTTGACCAATACTGACGCACAGAAACGTCCCAAATGCAGCAAAATAAGAAGATACACCAGCACACACATCTAGTGTGTCACAAGTGATGATTGAGAGGGATTATTTTTGTATCAGTATATACATTGTTTTTTAGGAAATTGTTGCATATTATACCTTTAACTAATGCCACGTTACGTAGCTTATCTACCAAACATACTTATTTGACGTTTCATACAAATGTATTTGAACCCCGTGATAGAACATTTCTACTGTGATTTAGTTTATGTGCCTTACTCACTAACAAAACTATATGTGACATATGATTGTGTACTGAGGAGAGTGGTGACAAAGCCTTTGCTTTGATAAGGGGAAGTAACCAAATGGGGGGTGCAGTTTAACCAGAGAATGTTTAGGTGTGAAGATTCCCAGAGATAATCAAAGGTAACAAAGACACATGTCTTTGTGTGACAAGGCTCAGAAGAGGAAGGGGATGACTGGAGGGGCCAATGGGGAGCTTGAAGCTGCTGATCAATTGTTATACTGTAAATACCTGATGTTCCCCCCTGCTGCAGTAGTTATCAAAGTCGTTTTTAATCTAGATTGTTTGGGTGTGAGTTGCCGAGTTTTGGGCACATCAGCCGTAGAGATGTCTCCTCCTCTACAATATGATGGAACCATAGGGCACTCAGCTTGTGGTGCAAAAAGCACCAAAAAAATATGTTTGAAAAACTAAGAAGCAATGTCTCTTTCCAGAAAATAGTTTTTCCACCACAAACCAAACCACAATCTTTTCAGTTACCCAACAAAGAAGTTTGGTTGTCTAAACCTAAAGTGGTTTTATTTCAATTCACAACCTTAAGATTCACTTTCACAACTTGGGAGGTGCAGTTTTGTATTTTTATATTAACAATGGGTCAATTGACAGAGTGTAACCTGGTAAATATTGTTAATACTAATAAACCCACGGAGGAATATCACCGTCTGCACTTCCCCTCTACTGAATGTTTTAGCATCTTTCAGCCTCCTGTTTTGGTTTTATAGCCTGCGGGGGAGAAATGAAGCAACTAACGCCACTTTATTCAAAAAGTCTTGACACTTAGCATTAAAGTTCACTTCAAACTCAGCACCAACTTCTTCAAACTGTCTCACGTGACATCAATCCATAATTACACACAATACATACATCATGGGTTCTCACCTGTTTGGATGTGGAGCTCCATGGACTTGAGGAGAAGCAGGCTGACAGATCTCAGCATCACACAGTTTGGTTTCTGGCCTTCCTCCCCTCCGACATGTCTGGTCCCCCCAAAGAAAGAGGCAGACTCCACTTGAACACTCTGCAACCAATCAGTAGTCACTGCTGTTAGCACACTCTGGGCCAGCATGTTCATATCAGAGTGGAAGTGCTTGTATCTGAGCCCAGTGGATCCTCCTAAAGCCCAGTCCTCTCCAGCCTTCTGCAGCAGCGCTCTCTTCAGGAGCAACAGCACTCGCTTTTTGACAAAATACTGTGATGAGCAGCTGACTGTCGTCAGCAGTGCTGAGGAGTGAGTGTGGGTCATTCTCTGACTCTTCAGACAGACACCAGCTCCACATGTCAAACTGGATGCAGTCAGCACCTCCAGCAGGTCCAGCAGGAGACACCATGTTGTTCCCCAGCATCTGCTGCTGGTAACATCCACCAAACACTGCGTTTCCTCTTTTCTCTCGTTAGGGAGAAACTTGGAACATAAAGCACACAGGCTGGAGTCAAGAGCTGCCAGAAGTTTCCCAAGGATGTCTGATGGAAGGAAACAGATGCATTTAAAATGAGCGATCAGACACACAAGGATCACTGCAAGAAACCTGGGCTGCTACATTCTGGCCTTCCTGTTGCTCTTAGTTAGCGTAGAAACTAATGTGCATGCTACAGTTTTTTTTACAATTGATTCATTTTTTAAAAGGAATACTTCACGCCTAAACATGACCATTTCTACATCAATGACCGTGTTACCTGGACTTCTTGAGATGCCTCCATGGGGACCGGAGGATTTACTGCTTTTCTCTGGTTTTTTATCATTGAAGGCTAAATATCTTTGGATTGGACTGTTTGGCTAAAACATTCATAGAAAACATACTCAGAAGATTAATGTCAATAATGATTAGCCATAGCAGTACAAATTACTGTTTTTATTTCCCCACAATGTAGCAAACTTAATGTGGTGCCTTCATATGGGACTAAAAACAGAACCAACAATGGCAGCAACTGCAATATTCTACCACATCAGGTAGAATGTGGTAGAAGGTCAACATTTCCTTGAGCTCGATGTAAAACTCCATGGGGTCAAGGAAAGATGTGAAGGAGAATTTCTAATGACTTAGGAAAAGACAAGCTCTTATCATGGCTGCCCTTAGATACTTCCTGGTCATCTCACTCAGTTAGGAACCTTCCTAAGCTAAATTGGACTGCAGCCTTGAACCAGCTTCCAGCCTGTTGACCAGATGTGTTAAAAGTAGCAACACATCTGGTTTTATGTATATTTATGTGTATCAGAGATCTGTGCATGACGCAATGTCTGCACAGATCTCTATAGGAAGATTTGGACACGTATGTTGATCAATAAGTTACAAGACTGCAGTAGAGAAATGAACAAACGTAGGTTTGAAGTAATTAAGTAACAGTGTCTCTGTTTATGCAGAGTTATTTCACACTAAAAAACGTCACGCTCACAACATGTCAGACACAATACTTTAGAAATAAGAATTTGACATAATATATGTTTATATTATAGGTTCTATATAGGATATTAAGAGCATCAAACAACTATCTATAAGTAACAGCTACCCGAGTAGAACATGAAGTCTCTCCTTCTGTGTTCATTCTTATCAGAGCTTCTCTTTGCTTTGTTCACAGAGCCGGCCAGCAGCGTGCCTTTTAGTGCATGTTAGTGTGCCTTTTAGTGCATGTTAGTGTGC